GCTCCTTCCTGCCTGTTCCACCTTCTGAGGGCTCCAGGTGGCCAGCCCTGGGCATGTGGCTCTATGTCTCCCGTCTCTGCTTCCATCTCCACATGGCTTCTCCTCCGTGCCGGTATCTCTCCTCTTCTGTCTCTTATGAGGACACCTGTCATGGGATTTAGGGCTACCCTCATCAGGGACGACCTCATCTCAGACCTTGCACTTAATCCCACCTGCAAAGACCCTGTTTCCAAACAAGGCCCCATTGACAGGTTCAGGGGTCAGGACATAGGCATAACTTCTGGGGGCTTCACTGCACCCCTTGCATACAGGGTGAGAAGGGAACAGACATCTACATAAGAACATCATTCCACTTTTCCAAGGCAACGCTGGGTTTTCATTCACAAAACGTGATGCAAAACCCCCACCCTGCCATGGGAAACACCTTCTTCCAATGTCTGGTTTATCCATCATAAAAGAGGCTGGTTAATCAGACCTGAGTCACCCGATGGTTTCAAAGATTACACACGAATTGACAAGAGCGTGAGTGCTGTCAGCATCAGCCACGACCGCTCCTTCAAAAGTCATGTGTTCAGAAGCAGCCAAGGTGGAAGCAGAGAACACTCCACAAGCACAGAAGGGAGCTGGGGCACCCAGTCAGGTGCTCATGCCCACGCAGCCTTGCCCATCACCGTGAACAGTCATCCCCACCCCTCCCAGCCCCAGTGACCACGAATCCACGTTGTGTGTGTGGACTTGCCCTATTCTGGGCATTTCCTATAAGAGGAATCATCTGTGCCCAGGCATGGGACTCACACCATGGCTTTAAAATGACCTCCAAACTAAGCCCTAAGTGCTAAGGTTGATCTGGACAATGATGTCTCACCAAACACAGTATCTCTTTAAAGAAACAAGTTACATAACAAGCAAATAGAAACACAGTGTCTTCCCTGCCCCTGAGCTCTTTGCTGCCCTTTGCACAGCTTGTGTTTCCAAGTAACACATGTTGCTAAGACTCTCAGCACTTCACATGGACAAGAACCCCCACCCAACCCCCTGCCAAGCCCACCCTTTCACTGTTAGGGTCTGAATTATGTCCCCACCAGATTTTACATGTTGAGGCCCTCACCCCAGGACTTCAGAATGGGGCTGTATTTGGAGACAGGTCTTTAAAGAGGGGATTAAATGAGCTCATAGGATGGATCCCCCCAGAGGACTGGCGTCCTTACAGGAAGAGATGAGGACACAGACTCGCCCAGAGGGACCACCACAGGAGGACATGGGGAGAAGACGCATCTGTACACCCAGGAGGCTCCACCCTGCCCTCACCTGGACCTTGGAGCCCAGCCTCCAGGATGGGGTAAGGACACATCTGTGCTGTGAGCCGAGGCATCTGTGGCATTGTGTTACAGCAGCCCAAGGCCACCAACAGCCCTCCAAAATCCAGCAGCCTCCTAACCGCGACCTAGACTCTCAGGCCTATAACTGACCTCCCTCCTCGCTGCAGGGGCTGAATGCCTCCAACATGCCTGCTCCCTTCAACACCCAGCTTGGAAAGCTTCACTGGCTCTGCATGCGTGTCAGTCAGCTGTCAACGTAACAACCATCCCCACACTCGGTGATTAAAATAGCAATCTCTCGTTCTCAGCATGTGTCTGTTCCACGGCTGGGATTGGGCCTGTGTGGGCTGGCCTTGCCCCCCCAAACCCGGTCACAGGGCCTCGGGACTGCTCCTGGGAGCCCATTTGCCCTGTCCATCTTATTTTTTCAAGGGCGATTGCCCCTGCAGAGGGTCATCTCCCCATGTTGTGATGGACATGCTTCTGAGAAATGGATTCTTTTTCTAACCCTGCAATTGTGAGGCTGTCTCATTCTCTCTCGAATCTGGATTGCTAACTGGCCCACCCTTTTCTGAACTTGTGTGTTGCATGGCGCAGCTTATCCAAGGCAGCTGGTGACAACCAGCCTACGGTGCTGCTTTCAAAGCGGCAGGCAAACCGGACACATTCTCCACCTCCCAGGGTGTTTGGGGCAGGTTTTGCCCAATGTTTCACCACCACGGGACACAGATGTGCACTGCTCCAGCCTCCTAGGTACCTGTCTCTGGCCGGCAAAGCCCTCACAATAAGGCCTCGCATGAGGTTTCCAGCTTTTTGTCTTGTGTTCTGCAAGGCCCCTGCTTTCCAGGACCAACTGTCCTTAATGACTGCTGAGACAACACCACCTTGACGAGGCTTACCTTCCCTCCCTTCGTCCAACTGTCCTTTCTTCCCATATCTACTTTTTCTATTGGCACTTCCACGTTGCCTGTATAACTACATACTGAATTAGCCAATTATGTCATTCCCTTCTCCTGCCCCATTAGACAAAATCTCTTGAGATCATGAACTGCCTTATTTGTGTATGTCCTCAGGCTCATGGTGTACACTAAGACCCAATACTAACCAGTTTAATTATGCTGCATTCCAGTATAATAAATACATTGTAAATGAATTAAGAGAGAAAAGCTGATGGCAGGAGGCTCTAGCTAACAGCCGACCTGTGGACAAAACAATGAAAATGCTATACCTCTCAACAGCCAGCCATCTAGAGGATGGGGGGCCCCATGGCTCTACCGCCTCTGAGTTCTGAGCCTCCACAACTCAGTGTTTAAAACTGGGTATTGACTCAAGAAAGCACGTGGATGTCTGATAATGTCCGTCACGAACAGTCCAATACCACACACGTAAACCTTGGTGAAACTGTCCTGTGGATAAAGACCAAATGTGAACACTTCCCCACAGTTTATTTATCAAGTGTGTTTTGTTTGGTTAGCAGTCCTACAAATTCACTTTTCCTCTTTTGTTCAACACCTTTATTCTCCTCTGAAAGCTTACGAAAATGGGTGCTAACAATTAATTTTTTTAATTGCCCGTCTATGAGGCATTTTGCCTCAGACACTACAGCTTAGGTAGGAAACTATAATGGACGTTTTTTCCTCCGTTTTGTCCCATGTACTGTGAAACCATAGCACAGAAGGAGTGACCCTAAAACATCTTTGTTGAAAAACACCTTCACATGTCATTTCATCAGGATCCTGTCTCTGGAAACCCATCACCGAAAACCGCTCTGCTTTTAATAAAGGAAACAGCCATTCTGGGTCTGAGGTTGTCAGCATCCTGAAGGTGGGAGGGCAGGGCTGACGGGTCCACACGAAGGGAACATTTTGGCAATAGTAACTGAATATTTGATATTCCTGTAATGGGGTGAATCTGCGGGGCAGACCCTTCCATCTGTCTCCCCATATGGAGCCAACACCACACAGCACAGGAAAGGAGCAATTCCTCCATTTGCAGAAAAGACTCACGTGGAGCCAGAGGAAACCAAATGTCAGCCTGGTTAGCCACCGAGTGAAGCAGACAGAAATGAGGAAGGGGAAGGCCGACGCAAATTCACAAACAGCATGAGGAAGGAACCTGGACACAGTCTTTTACTGAACTCCTCACCAGCTGAATGGAGACATCAAACATACGCCTATTTATGGCTATTCCAGAGTCTGTTTTAATGAAAAAAGGTTTTTAAAAAGAAGAAAAAGCTCATAATTTCCCAGGCAGATATAAACTTGATCACCCCTGACCCCTCAGGGCACAAAGCAAGTGTATCTGGAGCTTAGGGTCAGCCTGGCACCTGTGAGATCTGACCTCTCAGCACACGCACTCTCTGGGGCGTCTTCACCCCTCAAGCCTCAATGCGCAGCAAACCCCCTGGGGCTCAGGAGAAAGGCAGATTGCGATTCAGAGCAAACGGATGGGGAGAGGTCCCGCTTTTCTTAGCAGCCAGTCCCGGTGGGGCTGAGGCTGCAGGTGTGCAGACCAGCTCTGAGGGGCCAGGTGGGTTCAGGAAGGGGCCTCCTCCTTGCCACCTCCCCTCGATGACCTGATAGGGAAGCCAGCTCAGTGCTGTCCCCCACCCTCCCCTCTGTAGAAACGCCCACCCCCTTGCAAAGCCCTCTGGAATCTCCCTTTTCCACCTGCACCCTCCCCACCCAACCCTTCTGTCCCAGGACCTCCCGTCACCCCTGGAAACGGGACAGCAGCAGGTCCATCGTGCAGTTAGTAGACTCCCTGTCCTGTTTAGGGCAAGCACACACATCCTACCCTGCAGACCTTGGGGTCCCACAGCACCGCCTTATCCTCTTAGGGCTGCCCTTCACCCGGACAGCAGACAGAAGGTGCATTCTGTGTCTGTCCCAGCGTGTATTCTGCTCCCTTGGCAGCCGCACTGGTACCACCATGGCCTCACCACTGTTCTGGGTGTACAAAGCTGCCCTGTGCAGGCTCCCAGAGACGCCGTCTCTCCCACAAACCACACGGATGACTAGAACAGTAGCTGGCAGCTCGTTTACAGACCAGACTGCACGGCACGTTCGCTCTTGGACAAGAGGTCTGTGTGTGATAAACCAAGTAGGCATCTGGGTTACTATTTACTTCTCTGCAGAAATGACAGCATGCACAACCATTTGCTTCCCAGTTAACAGAAATACTGTACAGGATTCCTGTGGGCTGGCCCTCACATGACTGAGTACACACACGTCTTTACCACCAATCAGGAAACACAGAGAATGCTGGAAAAGGTGACACAAAATAAACCCATGGTTGGAGAGTTTGGTGACTCCAGATATAAGGAACTGCTGAGGAGGGGGAAAGACAGCTCACAAGACCTTGAAATTACCTCCTAAAGGGAAAGAAAACCTGAAAGTACGTTTATAAAATTATAGTAAGAAAAAACTATCTCACCAAAGGAAAAAAAGGCAAGAGGTGAATGTGTGCAATGCGGATGAAGTACGGGCCCCGTTAAAAGTAAACGCTGAAATGAGGTGACCGGGTGATGGAAGGTCATTTAAGTAATTTCACCTCCACCAAAAATAATGTGTTCTTGCAATCGTAAAAGCGGTGCACTCTCATCCTATAGAGCCAATGTTTTATGGAGGCGCCCGCCTCCAGCCCATCATTACCGTTTTAACGTTAACGTGAACGTGAACGGGCCCCTTGGGTCCGAAGCTGCCCGCTTTATCCAAAAACTTCATCCCACAGCACCGTGCGCGCTCCCGAGCTCCGCAACACACACGCTCAACCCCGTGCTCGGCGGGCACGCTCCGCGCATACCCGCCAACTCCCGGCGGGTACTCACTGCGCATGCCCCCCTTCGTAAGCTTCCCTAGCCGCCCTCTACGCTGGGCCTCGGGCTCGTTCTCGGCGGGCACGCATAGCGCATGCTCAACAGACGGGACTCCCGGAGAGCTCTACCGCAAGCCCGCAGCACGCCTGCTCTAGTCATTCGCGGGGTTCCCTCACTATGGTGACGGGGCTCGGGTGCATGGTCGCTCCGCCGCGGCCCAGAGGTCGCCTCGCCGGCGCGCGCCGCATGCCTAAGACAGTCCAAAGTTAGAGCTCGGGTGGGGCGGTCACCATGCCTCGTCCTTGTCCTCATCCCGGCTCCGGAACGCCCCCCTGCCCCACCAATCCTCCCCCCGACCCCACCACATTCCGGCAAGTCCCGGCAGCTCGCCGTCATCAGAAGACTCGAAAGCATCCGCGACGGCGTGCGCCCCTTGATGACGCCACGCGTCTCGGTGACGCGCGACGTAAGCGACCTTCTTCGGGAGCGAGGCCGGCGCGCCCGTTTTGAAGCTGCTGTGGACAGTTGTTGGCCCCGCGGCGGTCCCGCCCTCCCATCTCGGTCCTGACCCCAGGCCCGCTACTCCCTCCAGCGGAGCGCCGTCTGCCCCTGGCACTCTGGTCCCGGATCTCTGGCCCGCGCCGCAGTCGGGCCAGCACCTCCGAGAACCTCGTAGGCCGCTCTCGGGTACCTGGCGTCGGGCAGGGGCCTCGGGAAGGAGGGGCCGAGCCTCGGAGATGCCGCCCGGCAAAGTCCTGCAGCCCGTCCTGAAGATGAAGGTGGATGAGCTGTTCCTCTGCTGGCTCAGCGAGTCCAGCACGCAGACGATGCTCCAGGACTGCTTGCAAAGGATCAAGATGCCCGGGAGGACCGAGATGGGCGATGGAGACTCGGGACAGCCCGGGCCCGCAGTGGCGGCTGCAGGCCCCGCCTGCAGGCAGAGCGTGTTGGACAGCCCGGGCGCGTCCACCGCGCTCCCGCTGGGAACCGGTTCAAGTCCCAGACTCGGGTCCCACGTCCGGGGAACTCGTAGATCCGCGGGGACGAGGGTAGTAAGTTGCTCTTAACTTATGCTAACGCCTACAAAGGTAACTCGGATCGCAGGTCGACTGGGCAGTGGTGGCGGAGGAGGCTGGTAGAGCCTCAGACGTTAAAGCACGTCCACATTTAGTCCGTCCCCCAGTAGAGTCTTCCATGCTTTAAAATTTCACCATTGACAGGAGTCTCAAGTAGGTGGTAACGTTCGAGTTGGTTTCGAGTTTTCTGGGTTCGTTTTAGTTACCCACTTACCACAGTGTTTGTATTGGGGTTATGAACATAGAGGTTTTATCTCCAATTTGTCCACAGTAATTAGAGTTAGATAGCAGTGTTTTAAAACGGTGCTTTCTGCCACTTAATGCCGTGTTCAAACGTTTAAAGTAATGGAACGTTGCCTCCAAGTGTTGGAGAAAACTTACGGTTGGTGGATATTGTACACCTGGAACTCCTAAAACATGAAATATTGAGAGTGTTCTATGGGAACTTGTGTATGACAATGTGGTTAATTTGGAGCCAGGATCCCATTAACAGCACTAAACTATCATGAAGTGACATTTGTGTCATTTAAGCTGAGTTTCCCAGCCACAACGAGTGAAAGGAGACGGACAGGTGGACGTGCATCCAGAGAGCTCTTTGCCTGTGGGTTGCTGTGGTTTTTGGACATGTGCTAGTGATCTAGGAGAATTAGTCTCCTCGGAGAATGGGAAGTAGGTCCGGAGGTAGCTTTGGAGACCACCAGGCATAGACCCTCCATACACCCACAGGTGACTAGTGTGGACCTGTGGGGGTGCATAGCCCTGGACCCATCCCCAACTCCTGCCCGGAGCATGTTCCCATGAGTGCAGAAGCAGGAAGACCTGCCTCCACCCCTGCTTTTACTGAGGCAGCAAGCACAGGAGGCCCAGCGCCCGGAGAGCTCGCTGGGGTGCCAGCCATGTTCTACCTCCCCCAGCAGGCAGTCCCCCTCCCTGGGATCACTGAGAACTGACTTACAGGGCTGCCCACTTTGCCATCAGTTAGGTTTCAGTGACAGAACCCAACACAGCATGAAAATAAATTGTGTCTCATGACCCCATGGCTGTGAATCCTCTTAGGACTGGAAATATTCTTAGGTCAGCTCAGCAAGGAGGGCAGCTTGGATGCATGTGAAAATGTATTTCTGTGAAGCAGGTTTTGAGCCTCAAGGGGGTGGACATTACATTCCCCACACATGCAGAAGAGGGAGAGGCTGTTTTTCTGCTTGGAGGGAGATTTGTGGAGGAAGTGAGTCGTGGGGAGTGCAGTGCACTTAGGGGGCACAGGGCAGGGGCCAATTTCTAGAGAAGGCAGAGAAGAGTCCTGCTAAGTCCACAGCCACTGGAGGGCCGAGGCAGGCTGGTAGCTGGGCCATGAGTGCTCTCACTGCTGACTAGGCACGCAGAGTTTTGGGCTGCTAACTCGCACTTGGTGCCGTGGCTGGTGGCTAGGTCTGTGGGAGGGGGATGCATGGTGGGAGAGCTGCATTGGCCAGGTCCTCGTGGTCCATGCTGTGGCTGGAGTGTGAGGGGTGGAGGGCAGGAAGGTAGGAAGGACAGGTCATGATCAGTGGGGTTGCGAGGTGAAATGAGAGCCCCCTCCTCTGGCTGCAGGTCCTGGGATCAGTAGAGTGAGTTGGCAATAGGAAGCAGCTTTGCTGGGGAGCAGAATCATTTTCTCTTAAACATCCCAAGAGTTTTCAGTAGTAGTGATTGGTCTTGTCTGGGGCCTGAAGTTGGCTTTAAACATGTCTTGGTGTGTCTGGAATTGATGGACTTATTCACTGAATTTCGAGAAGGGAGTGACCCAGAAGGACCCATGTTTTCATCGGGACCAGTGGTAAGAGCTCATTTCTGTTCCACATAAACGTAGGTGTGGGGCAGTGTTAACAGGCGCAGTTCCAAACACAGATGCTGGGAGTTGTCAGGCCTGAGGAGCTCTTGGTGGGTCAGGTGCCCAGCCACAGAACTGCGTACAAGCTGAGCCATGTGACTCCCCAGCCAGAAGGAGGGACACCCACAGGAGACAGCACACGGGATGCCCATACCCACTCGTGATGAGTGCTGGGACTGCAGGTTTACACTGCCCAGGAGTGACACAGTGGACATGGTGCACGATGTGTCACAGAGCACTCCATATGTGGGGGGCAATCACACCATCCAGGGTGTCAGGCCAGGCACAGCCCTTGGGGTGTGTACAGTTGTCCTCTCAGGGGCAAGTATAATGTGGACGCCCTGTCCCTCCACATGCTCAGTAACCTAAAGGACCCCTGGAGGGTGCAGTCCAGGGGTGCCTCGGTTGACCTGCCACCTCCTTCCTCTCTGGCTCACCACCACACACACACACACACCTGGTCCTGGCACAGTCTTCCTGAGTTGGGGGTCCACATGTCACACATGAGGAGCAGGAAAGGGTGCTTGGGCGACTCCAGGGTTGTCCCAGGCCGCAGCTGCTGCAAGCTCTTGGGGGCCTCCTTCCCTCCCACTCCTGCCACTTGCGGGGGCCTGCAGCTTTCCCCAGGACTCAAGCTGCTGAACGGCTCCCCAGTACCTATCGCTCCATTGGGATTCTGGGTGTCTGTGAAGAGACGTAAGCGTCTTCTTGACACAGGCCTACTTTCTGCTATTCTACATGAATATGAGTGGACTTAACTAACGTGCAAGTGATTTTACCTCAGACGTGGAGTCCGTACGTGGATTCACATGCAGCTGAGGCTGGTCCAAGGCAGTGAGTCTGGGGCAGCTGCCTCATGTTAGGATGACAGGAATGCGCAGAGCCCTTCCTCTGCCTTCTCAGCATCGCGGCACCGTCGGGAGAGGGGCCGCTGCTCAGCGAGAGCTGGGCTCACGCACCGGCCACAGGAGGGGCGTGCCTGGTACATACAGTACCGAAGTTTGTTGTCAAATCCGACCTTCTGCAACTATCCAGGGTGCTGCTTGACACACAGCTCCCACCAGGCTCTCCTGTACACTCGCATGTAAGTATGTTGCCCCAAGAACTGGATAATGACTTCCAGAACAACATCCATACGTAAGCGACGTCCTAAGTCATTTTCTTTAAGAACTACTAGGAAGTGACGAGTCCGGCAAGGCCGTAGGGTGGGAGGTTTTGGGGAGGCGCCTGGGTCCTGGATCATGTGTGCAGATCCCAGGGCCGCCCAGAGCTGCGGAGAGCTATGGGTGCTGACACCACCTCCCAGCACCTCCCAGCCCGCGGGTCCTGTGGGGTCCATCCTACCTGGGGTTGGACCCAGCAGGAGGCCACTTCTTCCGGGTGCAACCCCGAAAACGGGTATCAGACCAACGTGGAGAGCTGGTGGTCCCATGGGACTCTCACTTGCCTCCAGCCCTAAAGGACATGTGCACGCTTCTCACAGACTGAACAGCAATGTGCACTTGTCAAGGAGCACCTTACGTATTTTTAGGAAGTTGGATTTTACTGCCAAACTTCAGTGCTGAGTGTAACAGGCAAGACCTTCCTGTTGCTGTCCGTGAGCCCGGCTCTTCCTGAGCAGTGATGCTCTGACATGAGCCCATCTCCATCCTCGACAAGTCCCATTCACAAAGACCCTGTTCCCGGGTGAGGCCACTCTGAGGCCATTCCTACCCCTACCCTGGGTACTGGTCCTGCCCCTCCCTGGGTCCATCACCCCTGTTCCATCTGAAGTGGCTTTGGTGGGTTCCTTTCCCAGCCGCCCTTCCCCACCTGGTGAGGAGCCTCTGAGGGCACACATTTTGTGTGTCAGCACTAACACTGGTCCCTCCATGAATGCATGCAAATGGGGACCCCCAGGGCCCCACGGGACCAGTGATACCCAGGTGTGTGGACGTAGAGACGCTGGGGAGGGGTTGGTTTTTGGTATCAGCTCTGTCCTGGCCTTGCACGCACGCAGGGAACAGGGCCCTTCGAACGTGTGGGGTGTTGGCATCCCACGTGTTCATGAACCCATTGGATGCAGGACGTGTCCCTCCGCCCAGAGTTCCCCGCACCCCTTGGCCCTGGGCAGGCACTGCACTTCTGGAATATCCTCTGCCCCTGCCTACCCAGCCCAGTGTGTTTGCAATCTGCACACAAGTATTAGATACGCGTCTGCACCCTCCCCTTGCCCAGTAGGAGTCCATGGTCTGGGTGTGCCAGTCTGCTTACAGTTCAGCTGACGGCTCTGGCCCATCATTCCTGGTGAGCTGAGCTGCTGATGCCATCGCGTGGGCCTTCTGCGCAGGTATGGCATTTTTCCTGGCAGGCAGCCCAGGGCTGGGATGCTGGCTATGTGGTAAATGTGCCTAACTTGCAAGTGTGAACGCTTCAGAAGCCCCAGGCTGCCAAGGGGTCCATTGTACACCTGTTGCCGCGGACAGGTGCTCTCCCTCCACACACTCACTGGATGCCATCCCCAGGTTCACTTGGCCGTTCCTGCCAGCCTGCCGCGTGTCGGCCTCCCAGCACCTTCGATTGCTGGGGGAGTGCAGTGTCTTCTCACATGCTCACCAGCCACGTGAGGCTTCCCTTCCACTCCATCCCCAGCTTTAAAATTGGGTTGAGCTTGGAGGTGTGAGAGCCCTTTCTCAGATTCAGGTGTTACCCATTTTTCTCCGCTTATGGCTTGTTTTTCATTTTCTTGACTGTGTTTTTGAGTAGAAGTTCTAAGCCTTCAGTTTTTTCTTCCATGGTTCTTTTATTACATCCTGCCTACAACATGTTTGCCTTTCCCAGGGTCTCAAAGGCTTTCTGCTATGACTCTTCCAAAACTGCGGGTCTCAGCTTTTCCTTTGGACCTCTGGTGCATTTCCAGAAAGTTTGTGTGTATGGTATAAGCATCCAGATCCTCCAGCAGCTTTTGTGGAAAACTCTTCCTTTTTCCCGAGTGGCATTATTAAAATTCAACTGGCCGTGTGTCTGGGTCTCTTCCAGACCCCGTATTCTGTTCTGTTGACCTGCAGGTACCCTGTCACCTGTACGCACCGTCTAGAAGCATGTAGTTTCATAGTAACTGTGGAGA